ACAAATTGATTAAAGAAAAAGAATCGGAGTTAATTTTTTAATAAATCAGCATTTGTTATAGCGCAAATGATTTGCACACAATACCATTTAACCGGAGAATTTGTATATACGTAGCACAAAATTTAAAGATTGTTTATAGAAAAAAATTGGAGTTAATTTTTTGGCGAAGAATTTATACATAGCGATGCACAAATTAAAGAAGAATCAAAGTTAAGAGATTGTGAAACGATAAATTTTATTAAAATGTAGCGGTAGCGATAATGAACCATTGGATAAAAGCATTTTATAAAAAATAATCCAGCATCTTTCTCGAAATTTAAAAATTTCTTAACTGCAAACATATACATTATGAATACCTATACTACAACAACTCGTGATGGATATGTAGTTCACACCCCAGAATCAAATATACATGAACAGAATAAAAAATAATACAAAATTTGGTATGATAAAACCACATCCTTACTTGAAGCCTTAAAAAATCATGAAAAAATGCCTTTAGTAAAAGACAATATGGAGATAAAAAACTATTACAAGGAGATTATATCAGATCCGGAGGAGCGTTTGACTTCAAATGGATCTTACCCAATTTCATGTTGTATAATTACTCAACCAAACATGCCACTGGAACTGAAAGACAACCGATATTTACGTCTTTGTGATTCTCAAAATGGAAAATACATAGCTAAAATTGTTGCAAGCATCCCAAAAAAGTTAATAACTGTGACTGTTTATACTCTAGATGATACCCGAGAAGAAGCACAAAAAGTATGGGAAAATACAAAAGTGCTATCGCTATGCAAAGACGCAAATCCGATCCATTCAAAAACTTTTTACTTATTTGGAGTAGTGTTCAATGATGGACATTCGGTTTTTTTGGATTTGTTTTTTGAAACGTCCAATATTAATAAACATCAACATCTGATCATTACAAAAGATAGCGAAATTGACCTTCCAATTGAAAAGGATTATGATCAAATCCCTGTTTCTGAACACTGTATTAACTGCTATCTTTCAGGGGACGAAAAAAATTTGTATTTTTTGTGGTCTACAGATCTCGTGACAAGTAATTCACAAGAAAGTAAATTTGTTATTCAAAGATACTCAACTAAAACTTGGCGACATGAATATAGTTGGTTTATAATAATACCATATCCAAGAAAGAATTTATATATTAGGCTTCTTAGACCTTTATTTTCTGATCGTGCACCGCAGATATGTATTGCACATAATAGTTGGAATTCTATAACTATTAAACCTGTAGATGACAAGTTTGAGACATTTGTTTTATCAACGCATGACCTTGCAAGCAAACGTAAGCTAATTAATGGACTTCATCAATTGGGAATATCATCAAAAAATGTGGTTGTTGGATGGAATAATGAAGGGCTTCTATCATATTGGGACCAGTCTAAAAAAGCTACATTTGAACCTATTGCTTCATTTAATATGGAGTTATATCACCAATTTTCAAATCTCAAACCAAAATCATATCCATGTCGTACTATTCGATTTTCACCTGCAGGACAAGTTATTACATTTATCACAGTTTCCACGACTACTGTTTATGTTCAAATAATGCTTGCCTCTAATTTACAAGTCATAGATAATATAAACATTCGAAATTCTGTGGTACCTCCTGGATACCATATTTGGAATATTTGCTTTTCAGATTCTTACGGAATTATATTAACCGGAGCGGTGACCCAATGGGCGCCTTCCGGACAAATGAAAATTATGTTTTGTCGGATAAAAGGGTTATATGAACATATCCGAAAGATTGAAGAATATTTTGATTCTTGGGAGTACATTATAAATAATAATGTGCTACCAAACATTGAGGAAGTGAACAAATGGAGAATTTCTCGAAGTAATTTTCAATATCTTGTAATAGATAGTGAAAAAGGGATTTTGGATGATTATGATAAAAATAAGGTTTTCTATTGGCAAAAGCAACTTTACAAAACATTTTTCTGTCGTCAAACTAATGAGCCTACAACGCTACCATCGGCTATGTTGTTACCAACAAGACCTGAAAATGATGAACAAATAACGAAAAGAGTTATTCACCTTTATACGCATGTATATCCATGGGATTCATCTCAGTTAGTTTATGAATTTGCCATTATAGAAGAATATGATATCGGAATAACCATTGTGGCAATAAGAATTGGGGGAGATGATTTTCCACATGTGAAACCGTATATTATGAGAACACTAGCAACGATGAAATTCGATTTTAGAGTTGATGGAGGGATACAAGGTGAAATAATTTTGAGAAAAAAGAATAATCATGTGTGGTTGGAATTTCAGCGCACAACAGAGAACACAGTGAACAATGAAGAACTAAAAAACATTAATGATTTAATGAACAAGCAAGTAGCCTTAATTTCAGAGTTGCATCACCCAAATGATGCAATTGTTGACTTTGTCACCATCATGCAATCAGGGGATTGCTTACTGAAAGACAAATATGAAATTTATGTAGAAGAAAATCCATTTATCAGCAACTCTTCAAATTTTATGGCATTTTTCAGTCATTTGGATCAGTTTACGAATGATCAAACAATACAATTCGGACATCGTCAACAATCCTTTTATGCAATATCAAAGCTGTTCATTTGGATCAAATATTGCATAAAAGTCTCAAACGTTCATATGTCAAAGAAAAAATTCATTTATACCGTAGCCCAACATTATGATGCAATATTTAATGATGTGGAATTTGATGGTACAGAGACTGTATTTTCTTGCGTTTTTGCGGGTGCTCTTAATTTAGACATCATTGCAAATCAAACAATATTGACAGATCAATTTCTAATTGAATATCATAAACATGAGAATCTTATCTGGAAGAATTCTGCAACAATATCTCCGTGTCTACCATTAGCACTTCAAATTCGACCACTTGGAATTTTATCACTTATGCGACATGTTTGTTTGTGGACTTTACCTTTTAATGACATATCAGCATCAATTAATCACAATTACTCGAAACATAAATGGTTACACTTGGGTAAATTATTATCAAAGAAGAAAACAACAGACATTCTTGGAGCAAACACGACGCTTTGCACCGTGCCATTTGTTAATTTCTGTTCGTATCATCAAAATGTTCCATCATTTAGCAAAAGTGATTTCCAGCATGATTTTGTTGATAGAAACTATGAAGATTGGCTGTATAAGATGATTAACGAGCATTTTGAGAAAAAAGTAACCACAAGATCAAGATTCACCTATCCTATGAGCCCTTTCTCGTGCTTAATTGATCAGATATCTAATTTGCAAAGCACTGATCTAAGACTGGCATTTTTCGAAATTCCATGGATGAAAAAACTTTTGATATGGAAGCTGGAGACATTTGTGACTCGAATATTTATCAAACGGCTTTTAATACCAATGTTGATCGTGTTTATTACAAATTTTTTGAATAGTTTACTTATCACTTTATCGGACCAGCCTATCCGAAGAGCAGAAACAATCATCACCACGATGATCCAATTACTTACTACATTATACTTGACATTTTATGAATTGAAACAGTGTTTAAGACAACCAAGATACTATAAGCTATTTTATAATTATATTGATTTGTTAACAATAACGTAAGTAATCTTAAATGAAATTCTCTTTGTGAAGATTCCCTCAATATACCTTCTCTGAGCATCGCTTTATCGTTATCGTATCATTAGGTTTTCATACATAATGGTCTTTTACATCATTCTCGATAACCTACTATCAATTTATTTTATTGCTTTTTCCACAATGATTATGTGGTTCAATCTTCTTCTTCAGTTACGATTTTATCAACCTATTGGGGTCCAGTTGATAGTAATTACAGACATGATTAAAGGCGTAGGCTGGTATTTACTTTTGCTTGGTGGCATTATACTTGGATTCTCCTTTATACCGTTCTTTGCTTTTCAACTTGATCCTTCTGAGCTTTTTATGGGAATGACAAATTTCCTTGGATCCAATTATGACATGTTCCAACCTCAACTCACTTATACCATCACTCAAGCATTATTCACACTCATTATACCAATACTTTTGATTAACGTTTTAATTGCATTACTTTCTTTAAACGTTGAAAACACAATGCAAATGGTATACACACATGACTTACATTGAACACATTCTGATTCCTTGAAAGTTGTTAATTATTAATTTATTGACCGTATTTTTCTAATATGTTAGGGTCAATTGAAGTGGCTTTACCAAGCAGCCTTGTTAATCGTTGAAGTAGAACGATTTTTTCTTACAGATTTGGAACGAATTCAACGTAAAGACTGGTTTCCAATTTGGTTTCAGTACACAGTTAATGAAAGGGAGCGACATGAATGGAAATCAAAGGTGGAGTTTTTATCTAATACCCTTGGATGGCCTCCAGAAAAACTCACTAAAGTAGTAATAGATAGTTAGTATATTTAGCGTTAATAGATTTAATTATAATCTACAAAAGTAGAGATCTGAATGTTTATATAAGTGGCGTGTCGTAGTTGTTTATACAACCAAATTATCTAACAAAGATATCAACAATCTAATAAAGATTACATGAAAATTAGAAAGCCTTTAAAAAAATTTACCGATATTGAATGTCTTGCAAAAAGAATTTATATAATATCATATACCGATACTAACTGTTTACAAGCGGAATCATGAAGAAAATAAATTTACAAGATCTAATGATGATAAACGCGATGTTGAGTTGAAATTACGTGATTCAAAGCAAATTATAAACGAGTAAAAATTGCACGATTTTCAATGTGTAAACAAGAACTTTTTATAATTACAGTATACTATTAAACGATAGGTTCGTACTACTTTAAAGTACAGCGATCCTTTGGAATAAATTATTATGGAATAATTAAAACCAAACTTGCTAATTATATATTTTATTAACTAATCATAGATATACAGTATGTAATGTGTCAGAAGTCATAAGATTACCTATATATAAAAATAAATGCACACAATTATATCGGTTGGAATTGAAATTAACTTTGGAATAAGAAATTCGACTTGTGTAAATTGCATTTGGTGGAATTGTCATTTTTTGGTGGTAAGAATGTATTTTTGCAGTTTCATCTTCTCGTCAAGCTTACCTCATTTCTTAAATTCTTGCTCCAAATTCTGTTTTAGGATATTCTAGCGAGCTGTATGGAAAAAATCAGAAATTTCTTCTGCTTTCTGGAATAGGTTCCAAATATTTTTTTTAATAATAAATTTGTATTATGCAAAATACTATTTTGTAACGTAGGTCGTACACCTTAATTTCCTATAGATATATTTCATGACTTTGCTCACCAAATGATCGTTAGTTTCAATTTCGAAGATAACCATAAACATCTGCAATGTTAGGGTGTGGTTTTTCATTTAGCACCTCTGGACTCAGAAAAATGTAAACCACGAGTAACTTCCTTTATATAATATCTATATTTGCTATAATGGCAAGTTCAAAGTTAAAAATTTGAGGACTATTATGCATTAATAATAGAATTTCTAACTATTTAATTTTTCATTTCAAGTCATTTTTCTCGTAAATTCCCATCTTTGCATAAGCCATTGTAACTGGATTTTTAGTTACTCATAATATATTAAATTGCCGAAACCATAACATTCAAAAGCAGTCAGAATCTATCTTTGAGATGCCCGACTATATTAGAAAATAAAAGGAAATTTCATTTAAAATTTTCATTCTTTTACTTTATTTATAAACTTCGGAGTAGTTTGTATTGAAATATGTAATGATTTAACACAACTTTAATTTCACTTCGTTTAAATCTAACTTCTTCATGATTCCCCTTGTCATCAACCAGGTTACTTTACAAAAACCTTCTTTTGCAAGATATAATATATTGATAATTGCAATCTTTTATTAGTTTGTATCCCCGCGAGTCAATTCATCGATGTAAATTCGTCTGTGATATTTGAAAAGTCAACGCAATGCTCATATTTATCACTACATTTACTACAATCGATTTTAAACACTCTCATCACAGTATCTACTTACCCAACAGCGTCGACATTTACTATAATCATGAATATTTTAAATATGTCGAAGGTAAACTGTAACGGTTATAATTGATTTCAATTTGTTAATAAGATACAGTACATGTACAGTACATGTATATGCATTGTAATGCTTATAATACATGTATGTCATATTGTGTATGTATTGGTTAGTAGGTTGATTTCTTAGATTAAACATGTACATGTAGCATAACAGTATTTTTATTCTGTATATGGTGTCTCTGTAGTATTAAATCATGATATACTTGGTTGAAAAGACTATAATTATATGTAGAAAAGAATCTTAATGAAGGAAAGAAATTAATGGTTTACGTTATCGCTCAATCACTATCACTTTGATCAATAGGAATCTTAATAATTGTTGTTCTATAATTCGATATATAATGTTGGTTTAGTCATCATTCGAAATATACTCTGCACTATGGAAAATATCAGGATCATTCATAGAAATAAAAGCTTCAAAACTCTGCGCAGGTCCACAGAACAAAGTTGCATGACCAATGTTTGCAAAAATATCGTTCTCTTCGTCATACTCTCCAGGGACAATGACAAATTGTGAAATTTCCATTCACTAAAGGAGAAGTTATTGAATCAATATCTGAAAGATTTGGTGAGGAAGTATTATGATTCAATCGTGTAGTCACTAATTCACAATATTTCTTAGCGGATGAAGAACAACGTTTATCGTAGCGAAATTTGAATTGTTTTTTAGATTTCCTTTTGGAAGAAGGAGAGACCGTGTTTGTAAAAAGAATGCATTTTTAATGTCTTCAGCAAATCAATTATATTCTTCTTCAATTGAGTTGGTTTCAGTCTCCCATTTTTTTGATTCAATTTGCGAAATACTTTTCGCAGAAAAACGAATATTTTTGCCGATTAATATATGGGTATTAACTACTCGATATAATAAAAATCATATTTTTGGAGGCTTTTTTGTATTTTCAATTTTGGCTATAATTCTTTAGAATTCCCTCATTATTGATGTCATATGGAGAGGGCACATTAATTGCTTGAAATATCAAAGTTTCATTAGCATCTAATAAAGTAGAGTTATGATTTCTATTTTTGACGGTGTTTTGGCATTTGTATGCTTTGTACGTGTGAGAGATAAGAATCAGTACCTTTTGAACCTTTGCTACTTATTCATACATTTATATATTACATTATAATAACTGTCCTTCTTTTGGTACGTAAACGAATATTCGGATATTGGCATATAACCTGTTGGTATTGTTCCTAAAATTCGATAGAATATTGTTCTCGAGAGTTCATTTGATATAAATTATGTAGTGTCTCCGAGAACCCTTATGATATAAATTTAAAATTGAATCCTATGAGTATTTGCTAAGTACGCTGGATGAGTTAATTGATTCTCTTGACTGAAATCAGAAAGCCGCGATAACTTTTATGAAAATCACGTTTAATACGTGTCCATCTTCATGTATACATGTCCTCAAAAAGGTAATCGATGAAACAAGAGCACAGCACAATTGCAAAAATTTTTTAGTTACCCATAAATTTCTATTATTAACATTACCGGATTTCGCAAATTGGGTGAAGAAGTGTGCTTTATCAACATTTATAATGAAATGATTTCAACAGTGTTCGTCAGAATGGACAGAAACTGTAATTTATCAATCCAGGCGAAACAATAAAGAAATAGGAAGAACTTCACATGTAATTTTAGTTATCAAGAAATAATTAAAAAATTTACATAAAAGAATTGCATTATACGCGCGATCTGCGATATGTGACTGTCTATCGATATTTTATCATGCTTGCATTGTTGTATGTTAATTTTTCTAATATAGTCCATACTGTTCTGGTTATCCGCACCATCCTGTTATTCGCATCGATTAAAAGTGTCGGGAGGCAATTTCATATATAGGTGGAAAAAATTAGTAACTGCGGGTAGAGATGATATGTCATATTGTTCCTTAGTTTAGAAATTCCCACGTGTTCTTTATCGAGATAGACGTTATATACTGCGCACTTGAAAAAAATTCTCGTACTCACCCAAATACCAATAAATAAATACGACCTAACACTTTTGTTTTTGAATTACAAGTTTGAATTACAAGTTTGGATTACAAACAACAAATGTCATCCTCCAACGAAAAAACTCCAAAGCATGTCAACAGCAAGTCTCTCGCCAACCAATAAAGTACTATGTCTCTGTAAAAAACCAGCGGTTAAATATCAAGTCAAGAAGGAAAGTCGAAATAAAGGTCGTTGGTTTTACAGGTGCTATAATGCAATTATCCATTATTTCGAAGGAACCGGAACAACTTGTAATTTTTACAAGTTGGTGGACGAACTGGAAACGGATCTTACGAAAGCGTCTGCTGTTTCCGCCAGCTCTGCTAGCACTTCTGGATCGATGACAAATGATCCATTGACTCCTCCACCAGACAATAATCATGGTTATCATCATCAACCGCAACAACACGAACAAATTCATAGTTATCGTCTACTTAATGATAACGGTAAAACACAAACACCACAACATCAGCAATCGTAATATGATTATTATCACAGTCCTTTATATCATCATCAAGATTTTTCAAATCAACAAGAATTTCCTCCTCGTCCTCAACCCAAATATAGTCTATTCTCGTCAAGAACAACAACTCCAGCATACTCGAAGAGAAGATGAAGAATTCTGGACAACCACGCCCGAAGGTCAAATCAACAATCTTTTTATGCAGAATTCTTCATCAGCACGTATTTACGAGAATGGTTCAACCCACAATTAATGAATTGATTCCGCTTTCACCTTCACTGGCACCGGATCCGATTAAGACGTTAAAAGAGAGGTTAGCAAGGGAGGAACGACGGGCTCGCGCTTTTGAGCAAAGTGCGAAATTCAAAGCAAATTTACATGCAGAAACAAAGGAGCGATTGGAGAAGACGGAGAAGGAAGATAAAAACTTGAAGAGGAAGTTAGGAGAAACGGAACAATTAGAGGAGGAGAATCGGTATTTAAGAGGAGGTTTGTGGAATTGAAGGGAAAAGAGCCCTCATGATTACTTCATCTACACTAAACCCGAAGATACCTATCAAGATGGACAAGAAGAAAAAGAAGAAGCAAGAATACGGAAATTAATGGAGATTGAAGTTTTGAAAAATCACAATGAGCGAAACATCGAAAGTTTGAACAAGAAAATACGGTTATATGAAAGACGGAGAAGGAAGATAAAAACTTGAAGAGGAAGTTAGGAGAAACGGAACAATTAGAGGAGGAGAATCGGTATTT